CACGCACGCTTATTCCTCCCGGGAGAGATTCAGCACCGAGGACAGCTCCCGAGCGGCCGGCAGGCGCTGTCCTTGGTTTCCGCTCAGCGCTCACACCCCCATCCCCGACTTTCCAAGTGGCGCAGAGAAAGAGGCGAGGAAACGTAAGGAAGTATAGGATGGGATCCTCTGACACCACGGTGGAAATCAGCACCTTTCCCAGAAGACCAAGATGAAAATGCATGTGAGAAAAACAAGGGGACCAAACAGATGGGGCAGTCAGACGGAGGCGGAGGAGCTCGCCAGGATTCCCAGCACCCGGCTGGTCCATGCCCGGGCCTCCGGCTGACCCGGGAGCCGGGAGCCAGGGCGAGTGAGCGGGCGCTTACGATGCCGCCACCTCAGTGACACGAGGAGGTGCGGTGGAGCTGATTCACCGCTGCAGGCCTGCACGACCTTTCGAGCAGAGGAGAATCTGTGGGCCCCGGTCTCTGCCACTCATCACGGTCCTCGCCGGGATATGAGTCAGACACGCGGGATCCTTCAGGCAGACATGGTGGTGGGGCTGTGAGTAAGTCGAGGGTGGGTTTCCTGTTGTGGAGGGACGGGTTTCAACCACAGGCCCAGCATCTCGGGATGTGCTGGGTACACAAACACCCCGCCTTCCCGTGCTCACCCCTGGAGACAGGTGGTTCATAACACAAACAGAAAGAACAGAGTCCTGGAGCCTTCACCACACTGAACAGCGATTCTTGCTCAAACTGCCAGCTGTTGAGCAGAGCCAGAAGGGTCTTTGGAGAGTCCGGTCTAACCCCGATATCTTATACACAGGAGATGGATGTCCAGAGAGAATAAACGCCCTGCCCCAAGCCACTTAGCGAGCGACAGAGTTGTCATTAGGGCTCGGTCCCCTTGCTCCTAAGCCAGCAGACTTTGCATTGGGAAGACAAACTAAAACCCCAAATAGCATACACCCTTTTAACGAAGCCTTCTGGTTATACTGCTTTCAAAGAAAATAACATCTTAAATGCCTCGGTCTTTTCATCTGGGCATTGGCAATGCCACCGACCACTTCCCATATGGAAATCTCTTTTGAGAAATTTGAGAGTAATTATTCTGGAACAGAAGCTTTGTTATTTTTATGTCTTCTTGTACACTGCCTTCTTAGTGCAGGAGGAAATTAGAATTCTGCAAACTCTTGATTTTGTTTAATTATTAAAGGAACTAGCCTCTATTTCAAGCAGTTGCAAATATGAATGTATCATTCTGTGTCACGAAAAGATAGACGGAACAATATCGGCCATGTGACTCTACTGTCACATGCAATTAAGATCCACCTAGGTCTATGCATAAAAGAAAAAGAAAAATCAGACCTACGAGTGAAAATTGAAAGAGAAGTCCTCATCTGGATAATTCAGGACATGTCTGGATTCGGTGCCTGATGGAATCATCTAAAATGTAACATTTTATCAAGTGCTTTGCAACCTTGTTACCTTCAATGTTGCAATTGGTGTATATGGGAGCTCATTTGAACTTTGGGGGTTTTCGAGGAGCTGAAGTAGGGAAGACGGAGGAGGAATGAATCTATTCAAGGTCATATTTACCATGTGAAACTCATACCTGCTGGAGCTGCAGACCAACAGACACATTAG